TACTGTTTCTACTGTTTGTGAACTGCTGTGAGTCGCCTTCGGGCTTGAGATACAGCGGTATAGAAGCAAAGTTTAATTTAATTAAGTGCTATAATAATGTGGTAAAGACGACTGGAATGGAATAAGGAATATGAGATTGGTTACAATTCTACTATGAGACGGAGCGGATTTTTTAGTGTAATTATATAATTGTTGTATTGTGGATATGTTGTTTGTAATTGCCTTTTGTAAATTGCCTTTTATATTTTGTACACCGCTATGAGTCGCCCTAAAAGGGCTGAGAATGGCGGTCAACAAATGCACCAAATAAATAAATAATAAATAAAGTAAATACATAAATAAATAATAAATAAATAAGTAAGTGCTGTGCCAATATATTGTAGATCCAAGCATGGCACAGTGTTTTGATTGAATTTTGAGAACACTGTCATTTGGAACCCAAGGATGACAGGGAATGCATTTCCCATTTTCCTGCCAAACAGATATTCCAACCAGCGAAACTCCATGATGAATTGTAAGTATATTCCCAATAAACGAAAGCATTGCGAGACGTACTCGGGGACAAAGAAGGGTCGGCTCGTCAAGGATTCCAGGAGGATACTTTTTATTCAACAGCCAAAAGTGGGGGGGATGAGAAACAGGTATTATTACCCAAGGTTTTACATTTTAACGAAAGTGGGAAACCATCCCCTCCTCCTCCTTCCCCTCTCGACAATACAAGGAATGTGGTCGTTTACACAATAATTTACATACCTTTATCCAGGCAATTGGATCCCTTAAGAGGGGAGGAACTTCCAAGTCCTACCTGCGGACATGTTTCGAAGATGGCGCTCCTAGTTCCGTGCGAGGAGGACAAGGCAAGCATGCGGTGGAACATCACGTGGCTGTGCGACGCCAACAGAAACAGATGAACACAAAGCACGTCATTCACAATCGATGATGCACTTCACGCAGCCTTTTAAAAATACTTTTGCATATTTATACTGTACAGACTCTTAAAAATATATTACATTGCCAAAGGTTCATATAAATACTATACAGGCAAGCGTGAATCCAAGATTCCCAAAGAGGGGCCCTCCTCGTCCGCCGAAATCCAGTCCAGAGTGACATGTGCATGAAGGCCACTGGTTTCAGCCGGTCTTGCCCACATGCAACTGTGGACAGAGATGAGAAGAAAGGAAACGGTGACATGGGACAAAAGTTCCACCAATTCTGATCAGGACCTTGACACGCCTGAGCCTGAGCTTACATGTCGCCTTCTCATTGATTTTCCTGCCATGGTAAAAGAAATGACCTGAAGACAAATCTCCGTGATCTCCACGTCACAAGCCACTGAGGCACACACCACGATTCATAACAAAAGAAAGGCATGAGATAAAAACGCGCTGGCCGCTGGTTCCCGGTCGTTTCCACAACGGGAAGAGTCCACGCAGGCGCCTCCGAGGGGACGCTTAGTCGGGCATGTCGATGTTGAGTTTGGGAGGCGGGATGACGTACTTCCCAGGACTCTGCGTAATAACCACCCCGGTCTTTTTTCGAAACATCGGAGCGATTTTGGGAGGTTCGGGGATGGGCGTCTCTTCCACCTCGTCGTTGTCTTCATGGTGCAGGTCGTAGGAAATGTTGCCGTACTCTCGGAGGAAGGGGCAGATTTCCAGGAGGAACTGGCAGAAGTCCTTGCGGATTCCAAACCACCCTGCGCCGCGTTTCCAAAACAAGAAAAAGGGGGAGGTCATTGAGAGTGTCAATCCATAGAAAAAGTGGCCAACCCCCCTATGAACCAATTAGGACATTAAGATCGTCTGGGGAGGCCCTGCTCTCGATCCCGCCAGCCTCACA